GAGTTTTATTTACTGTCGTCATTATATGCAAAAAAAAAAAATATTCAAAAGTTTTTTTCATCTTTTAACTTAACTCAATTAAAATCACTTTTTGTTTTGATATAATCGAGGCAAAGAAAAAAAGTACCAATAAAAATTCGAAAATTGAGAACTGAGGAAATACAAAAGAAACAAAGTAAAATATAAAAAATAATTCGTCCCTTTGTTAGTTTATTTACTAAATTTTTTCCTCCATAGTTCCATTGTTTACACTGACAGAATCTGTTGTTTTTGTCAAAAATCTGCGCAGATTTCAAAGATTGTTCTACTGATGTTAGATTAGCATAGGCTGCTTATCAGTAAGTAGCCTTCCGTATTTGTGCCTTTGTCTATGTCTATTTCTGTGTGTGTGTGTGTCTGTCTGATCGGTGAAATGACACATTTTGAGATGACTGAGTCAACGATTTTGCACAATTAAATTGTTTCCTCCAGAGACCTAAAGTCAACAGAACTGTCTGTCACCGTCAACAATACCTGCCCCATTTTGGTCATATCATTGGACATTATCAGTGTCACTTAAAAGCAGTCAAATAGCTGTCAACTAAGTCCCTAGCTGCAAAAAATTAGTTTCAAGTTCACTGTTAAAATAAGAAATTAGAAGAAAGAAACCCAGAAAACTCTAGAACAACAATAACAACAGCCTTGACTGAATAAGACATTAAGATCATACGATAGATTAGTCTGAAGTTTTCGTTTATTTCTGATGTGGATAATTGGCACTAACGATAGATAGACAAACAAACATGGTCATCTCGATGACTACCGTAGGCAGCATAAAAAGACAGCTTCGCAGTCTATGAAAATCATCATTGTTAAATTAAGCCATATAAAAACTATTCAAACATCAAAAAATTATAAATTTAAGAATCTGAACTGCTTCTTTAAATTCCAAAACAGTCGAAGGAATGAGGTTAGGATAAAGAAATCAAAATGTCCCTACTCTATTTTGAGGTGATATTGATGTCAGTTGTGGATTTTCAACAATAAGCCCTACTTATGTGTTTGCATTTGTAAGTGATGCCTGCAATGATTTGCAAATATTCCAAGGAGTTAATAGAGTGGTTGTTAGGCCATACGGTTGTCCTCAAGTACGTGTGAACCTTTTGAACTATAAGTTCAAAGGGTCATGTTCAAAGAAAACTCTTTCCCTCCCTTCTAAACAGCAAAGAATATAAAAAAAGAAAGATAAGACAACGTAAAATTAATATTTAATTAGTGAAACATTAAGTAATTTGTAGAGAAAAACAAAAATTTTTTTTGTTGCACAGGTTTTTTCTCTTTTTTTCACCATTCTTTTTTTTTTTTTTGTTTTTGTTTTTGGTGTATCCGTCATTTATCTATATAAACCAAAGAAAATGAACACATCTGAGAAACATT